TCCTTTGTGGTTTTCAGTGTAACCCTATGTGTTGCATTCATCGTGCTTGAATTATCGTGATGATGAATGGTAGTGCAGGTTTAATCAGGAATGGTAGGTAGAATTATAGTTCGACATTAGTTCTTGTAGTATTTACGAATTTTTTGAAGGTTGCTCAAGGATGATCGATATATCTAATCCTTCGTTGATCCCACCAGATGATCCTGACCACCCGTTCATTCCATCAAAAACCGTATATGTAAGTCTCTAATCTTGGTTTTGCTATTCACTGCTTTTTTATTTTACCCTGCAAACAATTACCAGCGTACTATACGGGGAAACGCTTTTGAACTGTACGTTAAATTGAGACTCAGCCACTTTGAAGAACTACGCTCTCGAAGAAGATTTGCTAAGCGCTGCAAGTGCAGAAAAACTTGTGCAAGTAGAATTGATATTATGGGCGCTTTCACAGTCGGTCGTCCGTCGTAACGGTCGTAGCGATCGCCTAACATTCGGCACGTATCGATAGTTGGGTTGACAGGCGATCGGACCAGGGTTAGCCTTCCATTCGTACTATTCGAAAGATTGCATCTGCGATTTTGGAAAGTGGAGGCGTCACATTTTGAGGGTACAGCAAGGCTAACTACTTCTGAGAAAGTGTGAACGGGGTCTGTAAAAAGGGTTGTATTTGTCGAGTTTCCCGACGGGTCGCGGGCGAAAGTATCATGAAATTAGGGTCAAGTAGGCAAGATTAGCGCATTTGTTGTTCCATGATGTCAATTTACCTCCCCCTTCTCCCGCTCGACGAGTTTTTAGGGGAAAAGTGAGCAGAGTTGGGTGTGTCGACTGTCTCAGAATCAAATACGTCTCCTACTCTCCGGCTGATAGTGGTGGTTGGGGGAGGGGGTCGCATCGAGACTCTCCGAAAGGGAGGCGGTCGCAGAATTCTCTGAAAATTCCGAAAGCGATGGTTTACCCTGGATCGGACGCTGAGCGATCGTTATAGTCGTCGCTCCCTCTTAACACCCATCGCGGAGTCTTCTCCCTCAGTAACAAAATGGAATAACAATAAGCGGTGTGAACTATGGCAACATATGCCTTCACCCCTCCTATAGAAATAGATCCTACTGAACTAAGGCCCTCCTATCCAGGCATCTGTATAAGTGGAACCCCAAAAGATCGAGAATTTTTTCCGAAACTTCGTCTGTTTTCATGCGCTGATCACGGTTGTGAAATCCATTTCTGGTGCAGGCG